CCTGAGGTGATCCCCAGTTTAAACAGGGGGCGGTGCTGGGCGTGGTGGTGCACACCTGTAATCCCAGCACTTGGGAGGCTGAGGCAGGAGGATTGCTGTGAGTTTGAGGCCAGCCTGGGTTACATAGTGAGTTCCAGGTCAATCTCAACTACTTAGTGAGACCCTGTCTCAAAAAAACAAACAAACAAACAACAAAAAAAAAAAAAAAGGAAAGGAAAGCCTTCCATTGCCTAGATGTCTTTTTGGGGAGTCGGGGAAGGTACCAGGGATTGAACTCAGGACCTTGTGCTTGCCAGGTAGGCAAGGCACCACTGAGCTACATTCCCAGCCCATAATGTCCTATGACATATTAAATGTTTACTATTTTGCCAATTCAAACAATATTACAATAATTATCCTTGGATATATGTCTTTAGCATATGTAAAGTGTGCCTACAGGACAAAATCATAAAAGCAGCATTGCTGAATCAAAGAAGGTGAGCATCATTTTGATCACTGTCAATCAAACAAAGTAAGATAATGTTACCCAAGTGTTTTATTGTTGTTGTTTGTTTTTTGAGACAATCTTACTAAGTAGTTCAGACTAGTCTTGAACTCACTATATAGCCCAGGCTGACCTCAAATTTGTGGTGATCCCCTTGACTTAGCCTCCTAAATGCTGGGATTACAATTACCCAAGTTTTAATTTGCATTTCTTATGATCAAGTGAGGTTGCACATGATTGTAATCTCAGTAGGCTGAAGTTGGAGAAATGTAAATTCAAGTCCAGTTTACACAATTTTGGAGCTTACAGAGACTTTGTCTTAAAAAATAAACAGCTGGAAATATAGGTCAGCACAAAGGCCTTGGGTTCAATCTCCAGTAACCCCCCCACAAAATTTTATTCACTGTAAGTGAAGATGAATCCAATTTACTTTTTGAGTTGTTTTTTCTTGTAGTACAAGTTTGTGTTATATAACCACTACATTCATTGTGCAGAGTTGGTACACGCACACGATGCGCCTTAATTTTTTTTTTCTCATTGAGTTTATTGGTACATTTTAGGTATACAGTACAGTTATATACATCACTGGGATCTTGTACCTTTACATGACAGGTCTTGGTTCTCATTTTTTTCCCCTTGTCCCTGCCCTCCCTTCACCACCTCCTCCCACTATGCATCTTAATTATTTTTACATCCTCTTCCCTCTTAACCTCCCTCCCTCCATCTCTTGGTCCCCTTCCTATTTGCAAAAGATCTCCTTGTTTCCCATTGTCTCTCTTTTATTTTGCTCTTTATTTGTACTTTGGATTTCTCATGTAGGAGAAACCATACAATATTTATGTGTGTTCAATGTAATCTTTGTTAATTTTGTGTTACTGGGATTGAACCTCGGGCCTTTACACTGAGCTACATCCCCAGCACCATTTATTCATTCATTCATTCATTTGAGACAGAGTCAATCTAGGTTGATAAATTGCCCAGGGTAGCCTTAAACTTGCAATCCTCCTGCCTCAGCCTCTCAGAGTTCTGGGAAACAGGTATGAGCCACCATACCTGGCTCAATGTACCCTTAAAAGGTCCCCATACATTAAAGAAACTGGCCCAAAGTAGTATGCTTTGCAAATATTTTTCCCAGTTTGTCATATATTTTGAATTTGTTAACACGAATTATTTTAAAATACACATTTCAACAGCATTTAATACATTCACAGTGTTGTGCAACCATCATCTTTATTCAGTTCCAAAACATTTTGTTTCTAGTATATTTAATAATGCATACATTTTTAAATTTCAAGGTACTCCGCTACAATCATTGTTTTACATTTTGGCTTCTTAGTTTTTTTTTAGCACAAGGAAAGTTCTTGGCCCTTGTTTTCTCACAATTTGACACTTCCTTTTTTCCAGCCTACACTTCAAGATCATCATATCAACCACTATCTCAGCAGCACACCCTTTTCTCCTTTGATATTACAGGCTGTCAAGCCCCACGCTTAAATGTTTCCCACCTCTTTGTTCTAACAAAGAGGTTCATGCACACTACCAAAGAAAAAGCACACAACCATACTTGTTCATTCAACAAATATTTTTTAACACATCCTAGGTGCCTCAGGTATAGATTTGAGGCCACCAAAAATGTACGGTCTCCAAGCAAAGTGGGGGCTAGGCCAGACATGGTAGCTCACACCTGTAACCCCAGCTCTCAGGTGGCTGAGGCAGGATGATCACTTCCAATTGGAGGCCAGCCTGGGCTAAATAATAAGTTCAAGGCCAGCCTAGACTATATAGTGAGACCCCATGGGAAAAAAAAAAAAAAAAGAAACTCGGGCCTTCAATACCTGCAACCTTATGCTCTGTTCATGTCCCTGGTCACTTCCATAGCCTGCTCCCAACCTACTAATTTTTCACCCTCCTCATGCTTATAGTGACTTCTGCTTTTCACAGAGTAGGGATTGAGAGATGAATGATTTCAGCTTCTCACCTCCTACTGACAAAAACACTGACATCTACACCAATTCTCCTACACCACTGCCAAGGTTAACATTCTTCTCCAGTTCAAAGCTAATCCCTCCACCTGTGCTCATATCTTTCTCCTCCCACCTCCTCTGAGACCTTGATTCATCAAACTGCCCCCTTCTCTTCAACCTGGCTCTTCCTCCATGGTAAATAAAGCCAGACAAGAGTTTTCCAAGAGAAGGGAGAGAAAAGACAAAGGAAGGAAAACAAAAAAAAATCTCCACCACTTTTAGGCCCCTCTCGCAGTAAAGTATATCTCCATTTATTTTCTGTCTCAATTTTGATTACTTTTACTTTTATCAAAGTACAGTAATGCACAATGGACCTTTAAATTACAGTCAACCTGATATATGAGCAACTTGGGTTATTTAGGCTAATGGAAAATTCATCTGCCTTTTGTTATCTATAGCATGTACCCAGGTAAACATCCAGACCTCAGCTGTATTGACTTACAACCAATTTGAGTTACAACCAGCCCTCAGGAACCAATTGAGTTTGTAAGTCAAGGGTGGGTCCACTGTATATCTCCAGTTTAAGGAGTCAGTACTACATGATCCATTACCATAAAAGTAGGCACCTCCCTCCTCCACTTTCTTTCTCCTCAGAGACAAATACTTGCATGTCCTTCAGATGTTTCTGTTGGCACTAACTTCCACATTCTAAGCATGTTTATTTTGCTTCTTGATTTCTGCTTTCAATACCATTAACTGGCTTCCCACTGGAGAAGGTAAAGATTGAGGCCCCTTTCACCCCTCTGATCACTACAGAACACTTTCCATCCTGGTTCCATCCTCTATCCTTTCAAGAGAATTATATCAATTGGGATAATAACAATATTCAGGATTTAGTTATGCCCATACAAAGAATGTTTCTAGTTGCCTCATGAGGTATGTTATGATTACCTTTCTCATCTTAGTCAACTTTGTTTTTCCTGAATAGTTGTAATATTTAAATTTTCTTAATTCTCTGAATTTATCACTAATTCAGCCCATAGTCTTGCAAAAGTCTACATATCCTCTCAAATCATTTGAAACAAAACAATGTTCATCACTGAGGCAGGCATGGTGGTACATGCCTGTAATCTCAGCACTCAAGAGGCTGAAGCAGGAGGATCCGCTTGAGTTCAAGGCCAGCCTGAGCTACACAGTGAGACCCTGTCTCAAACCCACCCCCACAAAAAAAACAACAGTCATCTTTTTCATCTCCTTGAAGAAATCTGTCCAGATCCTTCTAATGGACTGAACATTCTTTGCATATGCTACCCTAAGACTCCTTTAGCCTCAGCCTTGGGATTCCAGTTAACTTTCATGAGTCAAGGTCTTTTAAGTTCCTGGATCCAGTATCTTCCTCTGCTGGCCTAACTAATAACTTCCTGAGAAAGAGTACACATAGAAGAAAAATCTTGAGAACTTGTGCATATCAAAATGTCTTTGTTCTGCCTTCATAATTCAGAGTTTGGCTTCTGGAGATTTTTGATAACTGTATCTCCTAAAATCTACTCTTCTATAGTGACAGAACAATAGTTGGCCACCTAGGAAGGGACTAGATATCCCAGAACCCCAGAGTAGATGAGACCATAAGATCAAGTTTCCTTCAGTGGAATGTGAGTAGAAATGATGTGAACTACTTCCTCAGCAGACCCCCAAAACAGGTCTGCCCTCCACATTTCCTCTTCCTCCTTTCTGTCGGCTGTGACCCCAGGATGGCAGTGACTCAGTTTTGACGATACAAACAATGCTTACAGCCATGTTTCTCTAATCTACTGCACATACAAATCACCTGCAGATCTTAAAACATAAACACTTAACTCAGCAGGCAGTAGGTGTGGGGGGCTGGGAACTGAGACTGTATTTCTAACCAGTTTTTCATTAATATCATGCTACTGAAGTGCAGACCACACTTTTGAGTCTAAGACCCTAAAGGATGGCACAGCTGCTCTGCAAGTTTTGTTCACTGTATAATTTGTGGAACACAGTGAATAACCCACACTGAATTATTTTACAAGAAAAAATTAAGTTTACTGAGAAAAATGCAATCACTGCACTTTCAGCCTTCACCTTAACACAGCTGGAGCATGGAATTCTGAATTGGAAACCATTTTCCTAAAAGTATGAAAAGCATTGCATTATTCCACCATCTTCTAGTGTGGAGTATTACTATTAAGGGCTCCAGCAATGTTCTGATTATATGATATCTGTTTTCTCTCTGGAAGCTTGCAAGACATTTTTCTCTAAGCCTAGTGTTCTAGTGTAGGGTCTATTTTTCTCTATTATACTGGACATTTAATGGGCGCTTTTAATCTGGAAGCACAAGTCCCTGTTTCCCCCTTCATAGTCTCTGTGATCTCTCCTAGAGTTTAAACTTCCTGGACTGAATTTTTTTTCTATATGTCTTTTCATTTGCTGGGGGGTTTCTCGATTTCTCTTTCAATCAGTGATAGATTTTCCACTCCTTCTCCCATGGTTTGATTGTACAAGTATGTTTTCTTAGCCTTTTTTCCCCAACGGGATGCACCATTCCTGAAGTTACTACAATACCGGATCAATGTGTGAAAGTGACAAGCTCCTATTCCATCTCCTATTTCCAAAGCTCCATTTAATATATTGTTCGTGAATACAGAACGTATCAGATACTAAACTGATAAGAACAGATACTGTACGTGATCTTGGCTGACACTCCAAAAAGACCGACCTATCTTCCTTCCTTCCTTTCTGTCTTTCTTTCTTAATAAAAAACAGGGTCTTGCTATGTTGCCCAGGCTAGCCCCAAACTCCTGAACTCAAGCAATCCTCTTGCCTCAGCCTACTAGAGTGAGGACTATAGGGTTGGGTTTTTTTAATAGTATCTTTTATCTAGGCACTCCAAGGGTTGTTCTCCCCACCCCTTGCATATTTTAGTCTCTATCTTTCATGTTAGAAAATTTCCTTAAATATTTAGAAATCCTTGTCTGTTTATACTTAAGAGTGAGGTAGTTCAGTGGTACAGCACCACTAGGTTCCATCCCCAGCACTACCACCAAAAAAGAGAAGTGCTAAGAAGTTGACTAGCAGTTCCACAAACACAGATTGGACTTACCCATTATGAGTTTCACTATGGTGGGATCTGACTACATGCGTCAGTGAAGAGCCCTGATGTTAATTAGGTCTCTTTTCTAAGCAAACTTTCCAGAGGAATGTCTGTAAGCTTTAACCTGGAAAGCATAAGCCTGCTTGTCAAGGTTGTGGAAACCAGTATTAGTTTGTAAACTTTCATTTAATCTGTTTTCAATACAGTACTTTTCCTTTCTTTTTTTTTTTTTTTTTTTTTTTTACAGGGTCTCCCCTTTG